GGTATACTGAATACCTGTCTTTATCTTCACTGACTTTAATTTTGAAGTGTATGAGAAAACAGGCCTTTGGCTAATGTCAGCAAAAGACTTATGGATTCTCAAAACATATCTGTTCTTCGCCTGAATTATAAGTTTTATTAACACAAAACATGTTGAGTTGATCATATGAAGATTTCTAGTTATTATTTAGGATTATAATCTCTAAGAATTCTTGAAAGAGAATATAGTATTTTATAGCTAATTATAGTATATAATTATGTTACATATATATTGTCTTATTTCAGTTTTTATTTCATCACAGCTCTGTCCTCTTCCTCAAAACCAACATAACTCATGGCATTTTGAAGCTTCTGGCCTCTCCTATTGAAGGAATGGTGATGAAAGAAGGAGATTCTAACTTTGTGGCACCTCAAGGAGTTTCTTCAATTACTAAGCATTACTTGAAAGACAGGTGGGAATAGAATTTTCTCTGCCTTCTTTTTAAATTAGCATTTAAAAATAAAAGTTATACACATAATTAAATAATACTATAAAGTTATAAAGTAAAATAGCTGTTCTCATATTCATGACTCCAAAGCTAGTTTCCTTCCTCTGAAGGAATCATTAAAAACAGTTTCCAATGTATGCTTCCAGAAAGCTGTTTATGAATCTATCTATTGATCTACATGACTGTCTCTATTTATCTATCCTGTACGTTTATATTTACTTTTTTAAATATACACACAGTATTTTTTTTTACATAACCATTGTATACCTTGTTTGGTCTATGTTCATAATAAATCAGTATCTCTACCTACCTATCTTTATCTGTATCTATATATATACTGTTGGTTCCATTTCTCTGGAGAATCCTAATACATCATGATAGACTGAATCACATCTTGGGTCTATTTTCATATCAGCAGATTCAAGGAGTGTCCTTCTTTGCAGTGCCTGTTCACTATTCATGGTATATTTGTACCATCATTTATTTAACTATTAACTTTTTGGTAAATATTTAGGTTTGGAAGGTGTGGGATTGTTTTGGATTTTGCTAACACCAATATTCCTGCAGTGTCTGACCCTAACATATTTTTGTAAGCGTATCTGTAGGACTAATTGCTAACAATACCATAGCTGTATCAAACAGTATATTCATTTTTCATATAACTAGGCTGTGCCATCTATTTCTCTTAAAGACTGTATAATCATCAACAGTGAATGAGAACATCTGCACATCTTCATATTATGGACATTGAAAATTTTTGCCAATAGGTTAAAATGGTATCATCTTTTGTTTTGATTTGCATTACTTAATTACGAGTGACTTTATGCATCTTTGTTTTGCTAAACAGCTCTTTGAATTTTTTTTCTGTGAATTTCTTATTATAATCTTTGCTCATTTTCTATTAGGATTTCATTTGGTCTTTACGTATTTAATGAGTGTTTTGAAAGTGTACTTTAAAAAAAGATGATAGTGATCTTGGATAATAAATGATTTTTTTTTAACAGAAGTAGGCTTCTTGATGAATCAAAATTAAGTGCCCAATTCAAGATCTCTGATGAAAGGTATAAGCTGAGAATTTATTTTGTTTCATAAGCTCTTTCTAGAATATTTAATGTTTTGGTTTCCTTCATCAAATATTACTTAGTGAGAACCCCAAGAATCCCTGATATAATAATTATCATAAAAAATGATAATATAATTATTATTTTAGCTAATAACTATTATAAAAACTATTAAAAGAGGCAAAGTTTAACCCTGGTAAAAATGGATGATTTATATATTTTTGCATCATCACTGACATGGCAGAGGTCAATGAGGTTGAATATCCAGCATGAGAACACAATTCTGGGTTAGACCATTTCTGCATCTAGGACTCAATCTATGATGTGTATTACTCATGATTTTCCAGAGAAACAACCAATAGGATATATAATATATACATATATATGTGCATATATATGTATGGAGAGAGAGAGATTTATTATAAAGAATAGGATATATAATATATACATATATATGTGCATATATATGTATGGACTCTCTCTCTAAATAATATTTCTTAAGGATATATAATATATACATATATATGTGCATATATATGTATGGAGAGAGAGAGATTTATTATAAAGAATTGGCTCATGTGATTATGAAGCTGGCAAGTCTCAAGATCTGCCAGGCGAGTTGGCAAGCTGGAGACCTGGGAAAACCAATGATTTAATTCCCCTCCAAAAGCCTGAGAGCCAAGAGAGCTGACAGTGTATTTTTAGTCTGAAAGCTCGCAAATTTGTGACCCAAGAAGAGCATGTTAACAGTTTGAATCTGAAGGCAGGGATGAAAACTGATGCCCAGTTCAAAGGCTGTTCAGGCAGGAAGAATTCTGTATTTGCAGACTTCCTGTATTATTCAGGCCTTCAACTGGATGAGGCCTACCTGCATTAGGGAGAGAGATCTGCTTTACTCACTCTACCAATTTAAATGTTAATCTCACCGGAAACACCCTTACAGACATACCCAGAATAATTTTGACCAAATATCTGGGCACCCCATGACCCAGTCAAGCTGACACATGAAATTAACTATCACAGATGTTGACATTGCTGGATATTTTGTAGAATGTCACCATCAGCTTCATATGTTGCCACCACATAGCATTTTAAAATACATTTCTATCGTGATTTTCACATGACCCGTTAGATGTGCATGCTTACTGAAATCCTGAACTGCTTACCGATTATCTATCCGTGCATGTACACACCAATTCATCCACTCTTTCTAAAACTTTTATTGAGTACTTACTATATGCCAGACACTATTTTAGGCACTAGTGATAGGAGAGCCACAGTCTGTCCCCTCATATAGCTGATGTTCTGGCAGAGGGACAGTCCTTGTATACATTATACCTACATCTTTATTCTGTTAGGTATTTGGGAGAATTTATGTTTTATCTTCCAATTTTGCCTTGGAAACTCTTGGAAAAAGAGATCTTGTTATTTGTACCTCACATAGAATCTAATAGTACCTTGCACATGGTAGGTATAGTGATATAGATTTCTAATATATATATATTGTTTATAGATAAACTTAAAAACACATATGTTTATGTATATTAGATGACAGTCCTAATTTAGCCAATTCTTAGTGAAAACATTTTATTTTCAATTTGTATAGCCTCTTGGGACAATGACATCTATAAATTTTCTTATCATTATGTAAAATACTGTTTATTTCAAAAAGTAACTTTTAAGACACACTAGTAGAAAATTTGGAAAACACAGGAAAATAGCAGGATAAAAGTCCTTATATAAATAAATAAGTCTATTT